CTTGTCTTTTCCTCTCTGGCCCTCTCAAAATTTCTGTTGAACCAATCCTGTTTTCTGGTCCTGCATCTCTGTTTTGTTGTGAATGTTTGAGTACCTTCCTCGTATATTTCACAAAATTTGGCATACATCTCATTTACTTCCTGCCTACCAACAAGTCTGTCCAATTAAACTCATTAAAGAATTTTATGAGTTCCCCATAATGTCCTCTCTTGAAATCGAGTTTATGAACTGTTTCATGTCCCCATTCTCTTATAGATCATATCTCAGAGCATATTTAATGTCCAACAGGACATGATCACTCTTTCCCAAAAGAGGAAGGTACTGGATGTCAAAAAAAATCTTCTTTTTTTTTTTCATGACCAGACCACACACTAGAAATTGAAGGGACGACGACGTTTCGGCCTGCTGCAGTTCTCATTACTACTATCCCCTACACCTGACTTTCCTCCTCAGCTCTCTCTCTTGCCTATTTAATGCCTGTCCTACCTGTCCTCATCACAATCGACTTGAGAATGGTCCAGGACGGACCGAAACGTCGTCGTCCCTTCAATTTCTAGTGTGTGGTCTAGTCAACATACTTCAGCCACGTTATTGTGACTCATCGCCTGCAAAATCTTCTTTCCTGGTGAATATTAGATAAAGTACTTACGGAACATCTCCCTACCCTCATTCTTGTGGCCTGCTTGACGTGTCGATACACGAATGTCTCCAGAATGAGGTTTACAATACCGGCCTGTCCAAATGTCCTCCATTTTTGTTTTAAACTCTTCCCAGTTTATTGCTGTAAAGTTGAAGTCCCACAATACCAACAATCGTGAATTGTCTGCTCCTACTACAATCTCTCTCATGTAACTGTAAATGAAGGTAACAACCCTGTTACCGAACCAGTATTTACCCAGGTCTTTCCTAAATCTAAACTTATCCAATTTTTACCCATTGTTTCATATTCTGTCTTGTGTTGATACTTTTAATACCCCATTAATATCCCCCTTTGTTATGTACATTTACCCATTTGTACACCTCTATCATGTCACCCCAAACTTTTCTCCTTTCTAGAGAATGTAATTTAAACCTCGTCAATCTTTCTTCATATGACAGGTTTCTAATTTGGGGGATAAATTTTGTCATCCTACGCTGGACGCATTCTAATGAATTTATATACATTTTATAATTGATACCATTTTATAATACGACCAAAATTGAACTGCATAATCTTAATGGGGCCTAACCAGAGCAAGATGTAGTTGATGAACAACACCAGGTGTTAAGAACATAAGAACAAAGGCAACTGCAGAAGACCTATTGGCCCATACGTGGCAGCTCCTATCTATAACCACCCAATCCCACTCATATACATGTCCAACCCGCGCTTGAAACAATCGAGGGACCCCACCTCCACCACGTTACGTGGTAATTGGTTCCACAAATCAACAACCCTGTTACGAACCAGTATTTACCGAAGTCTTTCCTAAATCTAAACTTATCCAATTTATACCTATTGTTTCGTGTTCTGTCTTGTATTGATACTTTTAATACCCTATTAATATCCCCTTTGTTATGTCCATTCATCCACTTGTAAACCTCTATCATGTCACCCCTAACTCTTCGCCTTTCCAGTGAATGCAACTTAAACTTTGTTAATCTTTCTTCATATGAAAGATTTCTAATTTGGGGAATTAACTTAGTCATCCTACGCTGGACACGTTCAAGTGAATTTATATCCATTCTATAATATGGCGACCAAAACTGAACTGCAAAATCTAAATGGGGCCTAACTAGAGCAAGATATAGCTTGAGAACCACACCAGGTGTCTTGTTACTAACGCTGCGATTAATAAATCCGAGTGTCCGATTTGCCTTATTACGAACATGTATGCACTGATCCTTTTGTTTTAAATTCTTACTAATCATAACTCCCAGATCCCTTTCGCAATCTCAACACCATCTAGCTCGTATCTTTTAACTCTATCATCATTACCTAACCTCAGAACTTTACATTTATCAGCATTAAACTGCATCTGCCAATCCTTTGACCATTTCAAAACCCTATCTTGATCATCTTGAAGTGATAGTGAGTCCTCCTCCGAATTAATTTCCCTACCGATTTTCGTATCATCGGCAAATTTGCAAATGTTGCTACTCAAACCTGAATCTAAATCATTTATATATATTATAAACAACAGAGATCCCAGGACAGAGCCTTGAGGCACTCCACTTACAACATTTTCCCACTCTGACTTGATTCCATTTATACTAACTCTCTGTTTCCTTTGGTATAGCCATGCCCTAATCCAGCTTAATATAGCACCCCCAATGATGATGGGTGATGGTGGTGACCACCCTGGTCACCACCATCACCCTGGTCACCACCACCACCCTGGTCACCACCACCACCCTGGTCACCACCATCACCCTGGTCACCACCACCACCCTGGTCACCACCACCACCACCCTGGTCACCACCATCACCCTGGTCACCACCACCATCACCCTGGTCACCACCATCACCCTGGTCACCACCATCACCCTGGTCACCACCATCACCCTGGTCACCACCATCACCCTGGTCACCACCATCACCCTGGTCACCACCACCACCCTGGTCACCACCATCACCCTGGTCACCACCACCACCCTGGTCACCACCACCCCTGGTCACCACCACCACCACCACCACCCTGGTCACCACCACCACCACCACCCTGGTCACCACCACCACCATCACCCTGGTCACCACCATCACCCTGGTCACCACCACTACCTTGGTCACCACCATCACCTTGGTCACCACCATCACCCTGGTCACCACCATCACCCTGGTCATCACCACCATCACCCTGGTCACCACCACCATCACCCTGGTCACCACCACCTCCCTGGTCATCACCATCACCACCCTGGTCATCACCATCACCCTGGTCACCACCATCACCCTGGTCATCACCACCACCCTGGTCATCACCACCATCACCCTGGTCACCACCATCACCCTGGTCATCACCACCACCCTTGGTCACCACCACCATCACCCTGGTCATCACCACCATCACCTTGGTCACCACCATCACCTTGGTCACCACCACCATCACCCTGGTCACCACCACCACCACCCTGGTCACCACCACCATCACCCTGGTCACCACCACCACCCTGGTCACCACCATCACCCTGGTCACCACCATCACCCTGGTCACCACCACCACCCTGGTCACCACCACCACCCTGGTCACCACCACCACCCTGGTCACCACCACCACCCTGGTCACCACCACCACCCTGGTCACCACCACCACCCTGGTCACCACCACCACCACTCTGGTCACCACCATCACCCTAGTCACCATCACCACCCTGGTCACCACCACCACCCTGGTCACCATCACCCTGGTCACCACCACCACCCTGGTCACCACCACCACCCTGGTCACCACCATCACCCTGGTCACCACCATCACCCTGGTCACCACCATCACCCTGGTCACCACCATCACCCTGGTCACCACCATCACCCTGGTCACCACCATCACCCTGGTCACCACCATCACCCTGGTCACCACCACCACCCTGGTCACCACCACCACCACCACCCTGGTCACCACCACCACCCTGGTCACCACCACCACCATCACACTGGTCACCACCATCACCCTGGTCACCACCACCACCCTGGTCACCACCATCACCTTGGTCACCACCATCACCCTGGTCACCACCATCACCCTGGTCATCACCACCATCACCCTGGTCACCACCATCCTGGTCACCACCCTGGTAACCACCACCTCCCTGGTCATCACCATCACCACCCTGGTCATCACCATCACCCTGGTCACCACCATCACCCTGGTCATCACCACCCTGGTCATCACCACCATCACCTGGTCACCACCATCACCCTGGTCATCACCACCATCACCTTGGTCACCACCACCATCACCCTGGTCATCACCACCATCACCTTGGTCACCACCACCATCACCCTGGTCACCACCCTGGTCACCACCACCTCCCTGGTCATCACCATCACCCTGGTCACCACCATCACCCTGGTCACCACCACCACCCTGGTCACCACCACCACCCTGGTCACCACCATCACCCTGGTCACCACCACCATCACCCTGGTCATCACCACCACCCTGGTCACCACCACCACCCTGGTCACCACCACCACCCTGGTCACCACCACCACCCTGGTCACCACCACCTCCCTGGTCATCACCACCATCACCCTGGTCACCACCACTGGTCACCACCATCACCCTGGTCACCACCATCACCCTGGTCACCACCACCACCACCATCACCCTGGTCATCACCACCATCACCCTGGTCACCACCCTGGTCACCACCACCACCCTGGTCATCACCACCACCACCTTGGTCACCACCATCACCCTGGTCACCACCACCATCACCCTGGTCACCACCCTGGTCATCACCACCACCACCACCCTGGTCATCACCACCACTACCCTGGTCACCATCATCACCCTGGTCACCACCACCACCACCCTGGTCACCACCACCACCACCCTGGTCATCACCACCACCACCCTGGTCACCACCATCACCCTGGTCATCACCACCATCACCCTGGTCACCACCACCACCCTGGTCATCACCACCATCACCCTGGTCACCACCACCACCCTGGTCATCACTACCACCACCCTGGTCACCACCACCACCCTGGTCACCACCACAATCACCCTGGTCACCACCATCACCCTGGTCATCACCACCACCACCCTGGTCATCACCACCACCACCCTGGTCATCACCACCACCACCCTGGTCATCACCACCACCACCCTGGTCATCACCACCACCACCCTGGTCACCACCACCATCACCCTGGTCACCACCATCACCCTGGTCACCACCATCACCCTGGTCACCACCACCATCACCCTGGTCATCACCACCACCACCCTGGTCACCACCACCATCACCCTGGTCACCACCACGGGTCAATAAGAGTGTGTGTGGTGTTACAGAACCCTTCGACACGGCCTCGTGGATGCTGGTGGCTCTCGTGGCTATCCAGGTGGCCGCCGTGTCCATCTTCCTCTTCGAGTGGCTCAGCCCCGCTGGGTACAACATGAAGGTGAGGCTCGGTCGTGCACTCCTGCTACCTCTCTCTCACTCTCCCTCACTTTCTCTATTACTGAATCCCTCCCTACTTTCACTCTCACACCCTCTCACTGTTACTCTGGCACTCCAGCTCCAAGTTACGTGTTCACGCGCACATTCACTCTCAGGCTACTTCTGCCACACTCACACTCACTCACCATCATCAATACCTTCTACTGGACTCATTCTTCTATACAATATTCTTTAAAAAGAACTCATACACACACTATACACCAACAATACAGCAAGTGTGTGTATATGTATTCACTAAATACACTACAAACTAAACACTATTTTGCCATAATAAATTAATGTCATATATATATGATTTACACATATATATAATATGATTTAATGTGTGTGTGTGGTGAGGCTCACCATACTAGGTACTGACCATTGTCTCACAGTTACAGCCGCCGAACAACCATCGCTTCTCCCTCTTCCGAACACTGTGGATGGTGTGGGCCATCCTCTTCCAGGCGGCCGTCAACGTCGACTGTCCCAGGGGCTACACTGCCAGGTACGTCTCTGTCCCAGGGGCTACACTGCCAGGTACGTCACTGTCCCAGGGGGCTACACTGCCAGGTACGGCACTGTCCCAGGGGGCTACACTGCCAGGTACGGCACTGTCCCAGGGGGCTACACTGCCAGGTACGTCACTGTCCCAGGGGCTACACTGCCAGGTACGTCACTGTCCCAGGGGGCTACACTGCCAGGTACGTCTCTGTCCCAGGGGCTACACTGCCAGGTACGTCACTGCCCCAGGGGGCTACACTGCCAGGTACGTCACTGTCCCAGGGGGCTACACTGCTAGGTACGTCACTGTGCCAGGGGCTACACTGCCAGGTACGTCACTGTCCCAGGGGGCTACACTGCCAGGTACGTCACTGTCCCAGGGGCTACACTGCCAGGTACGTCACTGTCCCAGGGGCTACACTGCCAGGTACGTCACTGTCCCAGGGGGCTACACTGCCAGGTACGTCACTGTCCCAGGGGGCTACACTGCCAGGTACGTCACTGTCCCAGGGGCTACACTGCCAGGTACGTCACTGTCCCAGGGGCTACACTGCCAGGTACGTCACTGTCCCAGGGGCTACACTGCCAGGTACGTCACTGTCCCAGGGGGCTACACTGCCAGGTACGTCACTGCCCCAGGGGGCTACACTGCCAGGTACGTCACTGTCCCAGGGGGCTACACTGCCAGGTACGTCACTGTCCCAGGGGCTACACTGCCAGGTACGTCACTGTCCCAGGGGCTACACTGCCAGGTACGTCTCTGTCCCAGGGGGCTACACTGCCAGGTACGTCACTGTCCCAGGGGCTACACTGCCAGGTACGTCACTGTCCCAGGGGCTACACTGCCAGGTACGTCACTGTCCCAGGGGGCTACACTGCCAGGTACGTCACTGTCCCAGGGGCTACACTGCCAGGTACGTCACTGTCCCAGGGGGCTACACTGCCAGGTACGTCAATGCCCCAGGGGGCTACACTGCCAGGTACGTCACTGTCCCAGGGGCTACACTGCCAGGTACGTCACTGTCCCAGGGGCTACACTGCCAGGTACGTCACTGTCCCAGGGGCTACACTGCCAGGTACGTCACTGTCCCAGGGGGCTACACTGCCAGGTACGTCACTGTCCCAGGGGCTACACTGCCAGGTACGTCACTGTCCCAGGGGCTACACTGCCAGGTACGTCACTGTCCCAGGAGCTACACTGCCAGGTACATCACTGTCCCAGGGGCTACACTGCCAGGTACGTCACTGTCCCAGGGGCTACACCCCCAGGTACGTCACTGTCCCAGGGGCTACACTGCCAGGTACGTCACTGTCCCAGGGGGCTACACTGCCAGGTACGTCACTGTCCCAGGGGCTACACTGCCAGGTACGTCACTGTCCCAGGGGCTACACTGCCAGGTACGTCACTGTCCCAGGGGCTACACTGCCAGGTACGTCACTGTCCCAGGGGCTACACTGCCAGGTACGTCACTGTCCCAGGGGCTACACTGACAGGTACGTCACTGTCCCAGGGGGCTACACTGCCAGGTACGTCACTGTCCCAGGGGGCTACACTCCCAGGTACGTCACTGACCCAGGGGCTACACTGCCAGGTACGTCACTGTCCCAGGGACTACACTGCCAGGTACGTCACTGTCCCAGGGGCTACACTGCCAGGTACATCACTGTCCCAGGGGCTACACTGCCAGGTACGTCACTGTCCCAGGGGCTACACTGCCAGGTACGTCACTGTCCCAGGGGCTACACTGCCAGGTATGTCACTGTCCCAGGGGCTACACTGCCAGGTACGTCACTGTCCCAGGGGCTACACTGCCAGGTACGTCACTGTCCCAGGGGGCTACACTGCCAGGTACGTCACTGTCCCAGGGGCTACACTGCCAGGTACGTCACTGTCCCAGGGGCTACACCCCCAGGTACGTCACTGTCCCAGGCGGCTACACTGCCAGGTACGTCACTGTCCCAGGGGCTACACTGCCAGGTACGTCACTGTCCCAGGGGCTACACTGACAGGTACGTCACTGTCCCAGGGGCTACACTGCCAGGTACGTCACTGTCCCAGCGGCTACACTGCCAGGTACGTCACTGTCCCAGGGGCTACACTGCCAGGTACGTCACTGTCCCAGGGGCTACACCCCCAGGGACGTCACTGTCCCAGGGGGCTACACTGCCAGGTACGTCACTGTCCCAGGGGCTACACCCCCAGGTACGTCACTGTCCCAGGGGGCTACACTGCCAGGTACGTCACTGTCCCAGGGGCTACACTGCCAGGTACGTCACTGTCCCAGGGGCTACACCCCCAGGTACGTCACTGTCCGAGGGGCTACAATGCCAGGTACGTCACTGTCCCAGGGGGCTACACTGGCAGGTACGTCACTGTCCCAGGGGGCTACACTGCCAGGTACGTCACTGTCCCAGGGGGCTACAATGCCAGGTACGTCACTGTCACAGGGGGCTACACCCCCAGGTACGTCACTGTCCCAGGGGGCTACACCCCCAGGTACGTCACTCCCAGGGGCTACACTGCCAGGTACGTCACTGTCCCAGGGGTTACACTGCCAGGTACGTCACTGTCCCAGGGGCTACACTGCCAGGTACGTCACTGTCCCAGGGGCTACACTGCCAGGTACGTCACTGTCCCAGGGGCTACACTGCCAGGTACGTCACTGTCCCAGGGGTTACACTGCCAGGTACGTCACTACACCAGGGGCTACACCCCAGGTACGTCACTGTCCCAGGGGCTACACTGCCAGGTACGTCACTGTCCCAGGGGTTACACTGCCAGGTACGTCAACGTCCCAGGGGCTACACTGCCAGGTACGTCACTGTCCCAGCGGCTACACTGCCAGGTACGTCACTGTCCCAGGGGCTACACTGCCAGGTACGTCACTGTCCCAGGGGCTACACTGCCAGGTACGTCACTGTCCCAGGGGCTACACTGCCAGGTACGTCACTGTCCCAGGGGCTACACTGCCAGGTACGTCACTGTCCCAGGGGCTACACCCCCAGGTACGTCACTGTCCCAGGGGCTACACCCCCATGTACGTCACTGTCCCAGGGGCTACACCCCCAGGTACGTCACTGTCCCAGGGGCTACACCCCCAGGTACGTCACTGTCCCAGGGGCTACACTGCCAGGTACGTCACTGTCCCAGGGGCTACACCCCCAGGTACGTCACTGTCCCAGGGGCTACACGCCCAGGTACGTCACTGTCCCAGGGGCTACACTGCCAGGTACGTCACTACCCCAGGGGCTACACTGACAGGTACGTCACTGTCCCAGGGGTTACACTGCCAGGTACGTCACTGTCCCAGGGGCTACACGCCCAGGTACGTCACTGTCCCAGGGGCTACACTGCCAGGTACGTCACTACCCCAGGGGCTACACCCCCAGGTACGTCACTGTCCCAGGGGCTACACGCCCAGGTACGTCACTGTCCCAGGGGCTACACTGCCAGGTACGTCACTACCCCAGGGGCTACACTGACAGGTACGTCACTGTCCCAGGGGTTACACTGCCAGGTACGTCACTGTCCCAGGGGCTACACCCCTATGTACGTCACTGTCCCAGGGGCTACACCCCCAGGTACGTCACTGCCCCAAGGGGGCTACACCTCCAGGTACGTCACTGCCCTAGGGGCTACACCCCAGGTACGTCACTGCCCCGGGGGCTACACTGCCAGGTACGTCACTGTCCCAGGGGCTACACGGCCAGGTACGTCACTGTCCCAGGGGCTACACGGCCAGGTACGTCACTGTCCCAGGGGGCTACACCTCCAGGTACGTCAGTCCCAGGGGCTACACCCCCAGGTACGTCACTGCCCCAGGGGGCTACACTGCCAGGAACGTCACTGCCCCAGGGGTCTACATTGTAAGGTACGTCACTGTCCCAGGGGGCTACACCCCCAGGTACGTCACTGTCCCAGGGTGGCTACACCCCAAGGTACGTCACTGTCCCAGGGTGGCTACACCCCAAGGTACATCACTGTCCCAGGGGGCTACACCCCCAGGTACGTCACTGTCCCAGGGGGCTACACCCCCAGGTACGTCACTGTCCCAGGGGGCTACACCCCCCGGTACGTCACTGTCCCAGGGGGGGCTACACCCCCAGGTACGTCACTGTCCCAGGGGGGCTACACCCCCAGGTACGTCACTGTCCCAGGGGGCTACACCCCCAGGTACGTCACTGTCCCAGGGGGCTACACCCCCAGGTACGTCACTGTCCCAGGGGCTACACCCCCAGGTACGTCACTGTCCCAGGGGGCTACACCCCCAGGTACGTCACTGCCCCAGGGGGCTACACCCCCAGGTACGTCACTGCCCCAGGGGGCTACACCCCCAGGTACGTCACTGCCCCAGGGGGCTACACTGCCAGGTACGTCACTGCCCCAGGGGGCTACACTGCCAGGTACGTCACTGTCCCAGGGGATACACCCCCAGGTACGTCACTGTCCCAGGGGGCTACACCCCCCAGGTACGTCACTGCCCCAGGGGGCTACACCCCCAGGTACGTCACTGTCCCAGGGGGCTACACCCCCAGGTACGCCACTGCCCCAGGGGGCTACACCCCCAGGTACGTCACTGTCCCAGGGGGCTACACCCCCAGGTACGTCACTGCCTCAGGGGGCTACACCCCCAGGTACGTCACTGCCCCAGGGGGCTACACCCCCAGGTACGTCACTGTCCCAGGGTAGCTACACCCCCAGGTACGTCACTGTCCCAGGGGGGCTACACCCCCTGGTACGTCACTGTCCCAGGGGGGCTACACCCCCAGGTACGTAACTGCCCCAGGGGGCTACACCCCCAGGTACGTCACTGTCCCAGGGTGGCTTCACCCCCAGGTACGTCACTGTCCCAGGGGGCTACACCCCAGGTACGTCACTGCCCCAGGGGGCTACACCCCCAGGTACGTCACTGTCCCAGGGTGGCTACACCCCCAGGTACGTCACTGCCCCAGGGGGCTACACCCCCAGGTACGTCACTGCCCCAGGGGGCTACTCCCCCAGGTACGTCACTGTCCCAGGGTGGCTACACCCCCAGGTACGTCACTGTCCCAGGGTGGCTACACCCCCTGGTACGTCACTGTCCCAGGGTGGCTACACCCCCTGGTACGTCACTGTCCCAGGGGGCTACACCCCCAGGTACGTCACTGTCCCAGGGGGCTACACCCCCAGGTACGTCACTGCCCCAGGGGGCTACACCCCCAGGTACGTCACTGCCCCAGGGGGCTACACCCTCAGGTACATCACTGTCCCAGGGGGCTACACCCCCAGGTACGTCACTGTCCCAGGGGGCTACACCCCCAGGTACGTCACTGTCCCAGGGGGGGCTACACCCCCAGGTACGTCACTGTCCCAGGGGGGGCTACACCCCCAGGTACGTCACTGTCCCAGGTGGGGGTACACCCCCAGGTACGTCACTGTCCCAGGGGGGCTACACCCCCAGGTACGTCACTGTCCCAGGGGGGGCTACACCCCCAGGTACGTCACTGTCCCAGGGGGGCTACACCCCCAGGTACGTCACTGCCCCAGGGGCTACACCCCCAGGTACGTCACTGTCCCAGGGGGGGCTACACCCCCAGGTACGTCACTGTCCCAGGGGGCTACACCCCAGGTACGTCACTGTCCCAGGGGGGCTACACCCCCAGGTACGTCACTGTCCCAGGGGGGGCTACACCCCCAGGTACGTCACTGTCCCAGGGGGGCTACACCCCCAGGTACGTCACTGTCCCAGGGGGGGCTACACCCCCAGGTACGTCACTCCCAGGGGGGCTACACCCCCAGGTACGTCACTGCCCCAGGGGGCTACACCCCCAGGTACGTCACTGTCCCAGGGTGGCTACACCCCCAGGTACGTCACTGTCCCAGGGGGGCTACACCCCCAGGTACGTCACTGTCCCAGGGGGGCTACACCCCCAGGTACGTCACTGTCCCAGGGGGGGCTACACCCCCAGGTACGTCACTGTCCTAGGGGGGGCTACACCCCCAGGTACATCACTGCCCCAGGGGGCTACACCCCCAGGTACGTCACTGTCCCAGGGGCTACACCCCCAGGTACATCACTGCCCCAGGGGGCTACACCCCCAGGTACGTCACTGTCCCAGGGTGGCAACACCCCCAGGTACATCACTGTCCCAGGGGGCTACACCCCCAGGTACGTCACTGCCCCAGGGGGCTACACCCCCAGGTACATCACTGCCCCAGGGGGCTACACCCCCAGGTACGTCACTGTCCCAGGGTGGCAACACCCCCAGGTACGTCACTGTCCCAGGGGGCTACACCCCCAGGTACGTCACTGCCCCAGGGGGCTACACCCCCAGGTACAAGGGATTATGGGATTCACAGTCGTCATTTTCTTTGTTCATCTCTTGAAAAATTGCATTTTCTTTTTTTAACTGGAACATTTAAGGGGAGTCTTGTCTAGGCTGCAGGAGCCACCGTTTAACACCCGAGTTGCAGGTTCTGCAGGTGTTACAGGTGTTGCAACACAGGAGGGAAATAATAGCGGGTGTTTTGTGTACCTCTACAGGTTCATGGGGAATGTTTGGGCCATGTTCGCCCTCATCTTTCTGGCCATCTACACGGCCAACCTGGCCGCCTTCATGATCACCAGGGAGGAGTTCTACGACCTCTCAGGCATCGAGGACCGTCGCGTGAGTCAACTACCTAACCTTCCTTGGTTCATCTCCACCTGACAGGGCTTTTTTTTCATTTTATTATTATTTTCTACCACAGACGTGGCCAGACATTTACAGTGCTAATCAGCATATATACATTTTCTTCTGTCCTCCATGGACAGGGTGAGAGATGTGTTGAACATATAGTTCAGAGGTTTATTGATCAATCAACCACAGAAGGTGATTGTAGTGCTTTTAAAATGCTGGGTCCTGGGTTCGATCCCAGGCGCCGGCGAGAAACAATGGGCAGAGTTTCTTTCACCTTATGCCCCTGTTACCTAGCAGTAAAATAGGTACCTGGGTGTTAGTCAGCTGTCACAGGCTGCTTCCTGGGGGTGGAGGCCTGGTCGAAGACCGGACCACGGGGACACTAAAGCCCCGAAATCATCTCTAGATAACTTCAAGGCATAACCACACGACTTCTCCTCTTACTAAGAACGTCGCTTTTCGCACGTTTGCGTCACCTAAGGCCAAAAATGATCGTACTAGAAAAATGGAAGCGGCTGGCGAAAGTGACGTACTGTCCCGTTTTCTGTTTTGGGTCCTCTGGTAGGTTAGGATAAGGGGCACTTTAGTACGACAGATTATTGACGTTGGGAGGGACGGGCTGGACACTGTCACTGGTCTGATGCCACTTAAGTGACCACCGTCACAAACACTTTGCTCCAAATTGCTACAATTTCAACAAATATGTCAAATATGAAGTTTCTTTTTAATTGTTGTTTTATGTTCTGTTAGACAAAAAGATTTGTGTCAGAGGTCAAGAGTGCACACTCAGAGGTCAGGTCAAGAGTGCACTCTCAGAGGTCAGGTCAAGAGTGCACTCTCAGAGGTCAGGTCAAGAGTGTATACTCAGAGGTCAGGTCAAGAGTGCACTCTCAGAGGTCACACTCAGAGGTCAGGTCAAGAGTGCACACTCAGAGGTCAGGTCAAGAGTGTACACTCAGAGGTCAGGTCAAGAGTGTACACTCAGAGGTCAGGTCAAGAGTGTACACTCAGAGGTCAGGTCAAGAGTGCACTCTCAGAGGTCAGGTCAAGAGTGCACTCTCAGAGGTCAGGTCAAGAGTGTACACTCAGAGGTCAGGTCAAGAGTGTACACTCAGAGGTCAGGTCAAGAGTGCACTCTCAGAGGTCAGGTCAAGAGTGCACTCTCAGAGGTCAGGTCAAGAGTGCACTCTCAGAGGTCAGGTCAAGAGTGTACACTCAGAGGTCAGGTCAAGAGTGCACACTCAGAGGTCAGGTCAAGAGTGTACACTCAGAGGTCAGGTCAAGAGTGTACACTCAGAGGTCAGGTCAAGAGTGTACACTCAGAGGTCAGGTAAAGAGTGCACTCTCAGAGGTCAGGTCAAGAGTGCACTCTCAGAGGTCAGGTCGAGTGCACTCTCAGAGGTCAGGTCAGGAGTGCACTCTCAGAGGTCAGGTCAAGAGCGCACACTCAGAGGTCAGGTCAAGAGTGTACACTCAGAGGTCAGGTCAAGAGTGCACTCTCAGAGGTCAGGTCAAGAGTGCACTCTCAGAGGTCAGGTCAAGAGTGCACTCTCAGAGGTCAGGTCAAGAGTGCACTCTCAGAGGTCAGGTCAAGAGCGCACTCTCAGAGGTCAGGTAAAGAGCGCACACTCAGAGGTCAGGTCAAGAGTGTACACTCAGAGGTCAGGTCAAGAGCGCACTCTCAGAGGTCAGGTCAAGAGTGTACACTCAGAGGTCAGGTCAAGAGTGTACACTCAGAGGTCAGGTCAAGAGTGTACACTCAGAGGTCAGGTCAAGAGCGCACACTCAGAGGTCAGGTCAAGAGTGTACACTCAGAGGTTAGGTCAAGAGGGCACTCTCAGAGGTCAGGTCAAGAGTGTACACTCAGAGGTCAGGTCAAGAGTGTACACTCAGAGGTCAGGTCAAGAGCGCACACTCAGAGGTCAGGTCAAGAGTGTACACTCAGAGGTTAGGTCAAGAGGGCACTCTCAGAGGTCAGGTCAAGAGTGTACACTCAGAGGTCAGGTCAAGAGTGTACACTCAGAGGTCAGGTCAAGAGTGTACACTCAGAGGTCAGGTCAAGAGTGCACTCTCAGAGGTCAGGTCAAGAGTGTACACTCAGAGGTCAGGTCAAGAGCGCACACTCAGAGGTCAGGTCAAGAGCGCACACTCAGAGGTCAGGTCAAGAGTGCACACTCAGAGGTCAGGTCAAGAGTGTACACTCAGAGGTCAGGTCAAGAGTGTACACTCAGAGGTCAGGTCAAGAGCGCACACTCAGAGGTCAGGTCAAGAGTGTACACTCAGAGGTCAGGACAAGAGTGCACTCTCAGAGGTCAGGTCAAGAGCGCACACTCAGAGGTCAGGTCAAGAGCGCACTCTCAGAGGTCAGGTCAAGAGTGTACACTCAGAGGTCAGGTCAAGAGCGCACACTCAGAGGTCAGGTCAAGAGCGCACTCTCAGAGGTCAGGTCAAGAGTGTACACTCAAAGGTCAGGTCAAGAGCGCACAGAGGTCAGAGGTCAGACCTTGCACATGCAATTTAATCACAGAAGAATGACTTGTTACTGAATAACACAAAAATATATACTATGCAGTGATCTCATCTAAAAACCTGTTTTAGTTAAGTTAGGATAACGGAGATTATAAAGGCGGGGGGGGGGGGGGAGTTCAAATAGCTTCGGCTATCACCTCCTTATGTACGGTCGTGATGGTCAAATGGATTAAGGCGACCTGTACAGACCAGTTGCGTTGCTCCTGGCAGTATGGATTCGAGTCACTTCTGGGGTGCGAGTTTTCAGTTGCATATAGTCCTGGGGACCATTCAGGCTTGTTCGCATTTGTGTTCCTCACGTGTGCCCCAAAGAATGAGGTGATTAGATAAAATGCTTTCCCCAAGATTACCATCCGGATGCCGGCGGGGGGGGGGGGTGTTCAAATAGCTTCTGCTATCACCTCCTTATGTCCGGTCTAGATGGTGAAGTTTATTAAGGCATCCTGTACATACCAGTTGCGTTGCTCCTGGCAGTATGGGTTCGAGTCACTTCTTCCATACACATACCCAGGTTTGTATTCCCCAATAATCTTTGGGTATCTAAAAGTTGTAAACTTCAAACTTGTGGTTTAAGCAAGTGTGTGCTTTATATATATATATATATATATATATATATATATATATATATATATATATATATATATATGTCGTACCTAGTAGCCAGAACGCACTTCTCAGCCTACTATGCAAGGCCCAATTTGCCTAATAAGCCAACTTTTCATGAATTAATTATTTTTCTAATTTTTTTCGACTTCCCTAACCTACCTAACCTAACCTAACCTAACTTTTTCGGCTACCTAACCTAACCTAACCTATAATGATAGGTTAGTTTAGGTTAGGTAGGGTTGGTTAGGTTTGGTCATATATCTACGTTAATTTTAACTCCACTAAAAGAAAATTGACCTCATACGTAATGAAATGGGAAGCTTTATCATTTCATAAGAAAAAAATTAGAGAAAATATATTAATTCAGGAAAAATTGGCTTATTAGGCAAATCGGGCCTTGCATAGTCGGCTGAGAAGTGCGTTCTGGCTACTAGGTACGACATACATATATATATATATATATATATATATATATATATATATATATATATATATATATATATATATATATATATATATATATATATATATATATATATATATATATATATATATATTATTTATTTATTTATTATTATTTTATTTATTTATTTATTTATTATTTTATTATTTATTTTTTCTTCTCCGAGGCTATGGGTCCCCACATTGGCACCAGAGGTAGTACCCTCACAAATTTAAAAAAAAAAAAAAAAAATATATATATATATATATATATATATATATATATATATATATATATATATATATATATATATATATATATATATATATATATATATATATATATATATATATATATATATATATATATATATATATATATAGGGGGGTACCACCACTGGTGTAATTATAGGGACCCACAGCCTCAGAGAAGGGAACACAGAGCACTCAGGGAAAAACTTGACATTTAACTCTGAATACGAAAGAGTGTTCACTTCTCCTACCACCCCTTTTTTTTTTTATTATGATGTACACTTTATTATGCAAGGTTATACAGTTACATATCTGATTTTATACAAAAAATGAACATTAAGAGGACACAAGAAAAAGTTCGCTTCCTAGAGGCTGTAGATTTCCTCGAACTCCTCCGACGCCGGGCAGGAACCGAGGATGCAGCGGGCATTTCCCCTCTGGATCGCGACACTGAGGCGCTGAAAGAGAAAACTTGCTGCTCTAGGGTCTCTTGTGGTGTCAATGAGCTTGGAACCAAGATCCTTAAGAAACCTTCTTGCACTCTCACCCCATGGGCCTAGGGTCTCAGACCCTATTGGAACGAAATTGTACCTTTGATCTAATTGCCTGTACTTGACTGACTTTTGTTTTTCTCTGTGTGTCGCTGCGGCTCCTGCCGTGCCGGCAGAGAGGGTGATGTATGTCGTTGCCAGGGTGGATACGCAAGTATAGTCCCATGCTAACTGCCTGCCACCCTTCCACGGACGCAGTGTGATTCCGTCTGGTCGGCCGGCAAAGCTAACAGAGTCACGGTTCAGTAGGTTGCGGGGCTCTCTCTCTCCGCTGGACACTGAGCAGAGGCAAGGCTTCTTTTAATGATGTCGTTGACTTCGTCGTGTCTAGTGTGCCAACCACCCAATTTTCTACAGTGCAGGCCATGCAATCCATATTCGTCAGCATCTGCCTCGCCGCAAATACACCTGTGAACAGTGTGGATAGGGGCAGCAAGGCGGAGAGCGACTGCAATACGGAGCTCCTGCGGATCAAGACGTGTGCCTGTCGCAGACATAGGGACTGCCAGAAGGAAGTCCCCTGCATGGGGAGCCTGCACAGCTGTGAGGCGTGCACGATCACTGGGGGTTGTTGCTGCCTCCAGCAAAGCTGTGGCTTCTTTGTCTACA